ACCAAAATCCCCACTGGCATGAATCCACTGCCAGAATTCTTCAAACTTTTTTCCTTATTTTTATGATATATGGACAAAAAAGGATATTGGTGATGAACTAATCTTCAGCACTACTTTATCTTTTTGCTTCCAATGTTTGTTTTGCATTTCTTGTCGTAGTTGAAAGACTCCATGAGTGAAAAGAATTTAAATTTGTTTTAAAATTTTTAAGTTGACTATATGTGGGGAAATTTGTTTTGGGTAGGATTAGAAGGAATGGATTCATATATTTTTGTTACGAACAATTGGTCAACTATATAATTCAAAAGAGTAAATTGTACGGGCGGTCCTTAAACTTGTAGGGGTATGTCATATAGGTCGCTAAACTCTCAAAATGCATATCCAAGTACCAGAACTTGTCATAGTGTGTAATATAGGTCACAAATCGCTACAACCCCTTCAGGATCCTACGCAGCGTTGACGTGGCATGCCACATGTACATGACATGGCATTATTTTGACTGACAAATGGGACCCATTTAAAATTTTCCCTTTTTCTTTTTTTCTTCTCTTTTCCCCTTTCTTCTCCTTCATCTATCATCCGTGCAGAAAAAAGGAAAAAACAGAAGAATGAGAAGAAAACAAAAAAGAAAAAGAAAAGAAAAAAAAGAAAAGGATACGTCACGTCCATGTGGCATTGCCACATCAGCGTCACGTAGTATCCTAGAGGGGATGTGTCAATTTGGGACCTAGATAATAAACTTTGACAAGTTCTGGGACCTGGATATGCATTTCGAGAGTTTAGGGGCCTATATGATATAACCCTACATGTTTAAGGACTGCTAATGCATTTTACTCTAAATCAAAATGTTTGAAACTTAACAACCCCGTAAGGTATAAAACAAAATATACTGAGGCAAATATTATCTTGTGACTTGGAGGAATTAAACAATAAATTTACTGTGATATTTCCCACTTGTTTTGTTTGGATACAACGTCATGAAAGATTGTACGCCTCTTTATCAAATTCCTTCTCCTGACATGACTAATTTATTATTTTTTCAAACCTTTAGATAAATCATATTATTAAGGATTATATGTAATTATACAGAGTCATGATAGATAAACTTCTTTGACTACTTCCTTCTTCAGATATGATTTAGTTAGGAAGTAATGAGGCAAGCTATTAAGTATTTTAAGTATCAAATCTTTTCATAGAAATCTGAGTATTTAAGCAGTACATTAGTTGTACATTTGTCTTTAGCTTACATGTTATTAATTTATTTGTATCAAATATTTTCATAGAAATCTGGGTAATTAAGCAGTACATTTATGATTGATTTATTTCCTCCTGTTTTGGCTGGATATAGCCTAACGATAAGTACTTCCTTCTTGAGATATGAATCTCATGGGCATTAGCTGGCAAGCTATTAATTCATTTATATCAAATCTTTTTAGATAACAATGACCAATTAAGAAGTACATTAGATCTTGATTTTCACTGCTATGTTTGCATGCTACATGGTAAATAGTATCCTTTTCCCCAATATGAACATATATATTCAACAACTTCTCTTTCTGAGGACTTTTTTTTGCTGGTCACATATTTTCCACCAAAGCTTGCAACCTTCAAGCTTGACGGAAGCTCTTCTGCTGCTCTGATTGAAAATCGCAAAAGGTTGCTCCAAATTAACCACACAAGGTACTACCAAAATCCCCTCTGGCATGAATCCACTGTTAGAATTCATCAAACTTTTTTTCTTATTTTTATGATATATGGACAAAAATGGATATAGGTGATGAACTAATCTTCACCACTACTTTTTCTTTTTGCTTCCAATGTTTGTTTTGCATCTCTTCTCGTAGTTGAAAGACTCCATGAGTGAAAAGAATTTAAATTTGAGTTTTAAAATTTGTAACTTGACTATATGTGGGGAAATTTGTTTTGGGTAGGATTAGAGGGAATGGATTCATATATTTTTGTTACAAACAATTGGTCAACTATATAAATCAAAATGTTTGAAACTTTACAACGCTGTAAGGTATAAAGCAAAATATACCGAGGCAAATATTATCTTGTGACTTGGAGGAATTAAACTATAAATTTAATGTGATATTTCCACTTGTTTTGTTTGGATACAATGTCATGAAAGATTGTACGCCTCTTTATCAAATTCCTTCTCATGACATGACTAATTTATTATTTTTTCAAACCTTTAGATAAATCATATAATTAAGGGTTATAAGTAATTATACAGAGTCATGATAGATAAACTTCTTTGACAACTTCTTTCTTCAGATATGATTTAGTTAGGAAGTAACAAGGCAAGCTATTAAGTATTTTATGTATCAAATCTTTTCATTGCAATCTAAGTATTTAAGCAGTACATTAGTTGTACATTTGTCTTTAGCTGGCATGTTATTAATTCATTTGTATCAAATATTTTCATAGAAATCTGGGTAATTAAGCAGTAAATTTTTATAGATTTATTTCCTCCTGTTTTGGCTAGATATAGCCTCACGATAAGTACTTCCTTCTTGAGATATGAATCACATGGACATTAGCTGGAAAGCTATTAATTATTTATCTCAAATCTTTTTAGATAACTATGACCAATTATGAAGTACATTAATTCTAGATTTTCACTGCTATGTTTGCATGCTGCACAGTAAATGGTATCCTTTCCCCCAATATGAACATATATATTCAACAACTTCTCTTATTAAGGACTCATTTTTATTGGCCGCGCATATTTTCCACTAAAGCTCAACCTGCAAGCCTGATAGAAGCTCTTCTGCTGCTCTGATTGAAAATCGCAAAAGGTTGCTCCAGACTAACCACAGAAGGTACTACCAAATTCCCTCTCGCATATCCACTGCCAAAATTCATCAAACTTTTTCTCTAATATAGCTTTTGTTCTTCGTTACTTTTTTTTTTGAAAGTTTATTTTGCTTTTCTTACTGGTGGTAACCGGAAGCCACGGAGCGAGAGGAATTTAAATTCGAATTTTAAACTTTGTAATTTGTGTATATGTGGAGTAACTAGTTTTAGTTTTGGGTACGATCAGTTGGAATGAATTGGTATATTCTTGTCACAAAAAAGGTCAACTCTATAAAATCAAAGTTTTTGAAACTAGACAACCCGGTAAAACAGAATCAAATCTTTTCATAGGACTTCAAGAAATTAAGAAATAAATTAATTGTGGTATTTGCTTCATGTTTTGTTTGGATACATCATAAAAAAAATATTTCTCTTTATCAAATTTCTTCTCCTGATATGAATATTTTATTATTTTTCAAATCCTTTGTTAGAAATCTTAGTAATTAAGGATCACATTAATTATAAGTAATTACATAGCCTCGTGATAGTATTGATAGCTAAATGTCTTTAGCTTGTTCCTTCTTGATATATGAATACACTAGCAATTAGCACGAATTCTGTTAAGTCTTCTAATATCAAATCTTTTCATAAAAGGCTGAGTAATTGGGATATAATATTATTAATTCGTTTATATCAAATCTTTTCATAGAAACCTGGGCAATTAAGCAGTACATTTATTACAGATTTGTTTCCTTCTGTTTTGGTTGGATACAACCTCATAATAAATAAACCGCTTTAAGTACTTCCTTCTTGAGATATGTATGAATCACTTAGCAGCTATCAATTCATTTATATCAAATATTTTTACTCAAATCTGACCAATTAAGAAGTACATTAATTCTAGATTTTTGCACTATTTTTTGGATGCTAGTACATAATTAATGGTATCCTCCCCCCATAAGAATATATATTTTCAACTTCTCTTAATGATGACTTTTGTTTTACTGACCACAAATTTTCTTCCAAAGCTCAGAACCATCAAGCCTGATGCAAGCTCTCGTGTTGCTCTGATCGAAAAACTGCAAAGATCGCTCGAGATTAACCACAAAAGGTACAACCAAATCCCCTCTGACATGAATCCCAGCGAAAATTCATCAAACTTTTGCAATCCTTTTTATGATATGTGGGCAAAAGGAGCATGTAAGTGATGAACTAACCTTCATTACTTAATTTTTTTCCTTCAAAAGTTTGTTTTGCTTTTATTACTAGTAGTAGCCCAGAAGTCAGGGAGTGAAAGTAATTTAAATTTGAGTTTTTCAACCTTTTAATTGGCTATACGTGAGGAAATTTGTTTTGGGTAAGATGAGGTGGAATAAATTGATATATTTTTGTTTGAGACAAATGGTCAACTCTATATAATCAACATTTTCGAAACTAGACAACCCCATCGGGTAAAATGAAATTCACTCTGGCAAATCTTTTCATAGGACTTGGAGAAGTTAAACAATTAATTAGTTAATTGTGGTATTTGCCGCCAGTTTTCATTTGATAAAACATCATGAAAAATTATACCTCTTTATCATATTCCTTCTCCTTGTATGATTAATTTTTTATTTTTCAAATCTTTCGATAGAAATCTAAGTAATTAAGGATTACATTAATTATAAGTACCAATAAAGCCTCATGATAGATAAACATTTTTTAACTAATTCCTTCTTCATATATGAATTAATTGGCAAGTACCATGCATGCTATTAAGTCTTTTAATATCAAATCTTTCGTAGAAATCTGGGTAATGAAGCAGTACATTTATTATAGATTTGTTTTCTCCTGTTTTGGCTAGATGCAACATCATGATAAATAAATAAATTTAATAAGTGCTTCCTTCTTGAGATGTGAAGCAGTTGGCCATTAGCATGCATGCTATTAATTCATTTATACCAAATCTTTTTACCTAAATCTGACCATTTAATAAGTACATTAACTCTAGATTTTCACTGCTATGTTTGGATGCTTACATAACTAATGGTATCATTTTCCCCTATATTACTGATCACACATGTTTTCCTCCAAAGCTTAGAACCTTCAAGCCTGACAGAAACTCTGATCGGAAAACCGCAAAGTCGCACCAGATTAACCACAGAGGGTACAACCAAACCCTCTCTGCCATGAATCCATAGGCCACAGCCAGAATTCATCAAACTTTCGCTCGCATTTTTATGATATATGGACAATAGAAAACGCATGTAAATGATGATCACTAATCTTCGTTACTTTCTTTTTTGTTGCTTCCAAAGTTTGTTTCGCTTTTTGTTACTGGAAGCAGTCAGAAGCCATGGACGCGTCCAAGAAATCCGTCATGACGAAGGAGGAGCAACAACTGTCGCCAGCAGCAAGCCCAGCGGCAGCAGTCATGACAGCCGAGGCTGATGCCATCAACGAGGAACAAGACAAGGCTGCTGCTGCTACAACCGCAGATCACACTGCTCCTCCTCCTCCTCCTCCTGCTGCTGCTGCTGTTGCAGATCACGCTGGGGAGATGGACATGGCTAGTGGCAGCGGCGTTGCTCACCTGGCACCACCGGCGGTGGCGCCGGCGCCGCGGTCTTCTCTCGCTATGGCGGTCTCGGGGCTGGCGGACCATGTCCTGGAGCGCATGGTGAAGGTGCTGATGAGGAAGTGCCACCCGCCGCAGGCGTTGTACCCGCTGATTGGCAAGTCGCCACTGCGGCCGCCATGGTGGCCGACGGGGCGCGAGCAGTGGTGGCCGGAGCTCGGCGCCGGCGCCGTCGTCCCGCCGTACAGGCCTGCGCCGCTGCTGTCCAAGGCGGAGAAGGAGGTGGCCGTGGTCGCCATGGTGAAGAACCTCGTGCCGGACTTCGAGCGCCTCTTCATGGCCGTGCGAATGGCGCCCAGCGTCACCAGCAGGATCACCGACGCCGAGGCGAGGGCGTGGGACGACGGCGTCGCCGGGGAGCGCGAGACGTACATGGCGCGGCACCCGCACCGCACGACGCCGACCAGGGCGTGGAAGCTCATGGATTCCCTCAAGCCGGAGGCGGTGAGGATGAAGCTCAAGGCGCCCAAGCCGAAGCCGCAGGTCACCATCAAAGTCGAGGACGCCGCGCCTTTCCTCACTGTCTCCGCTGCCGCTGACCCCGCCGCCGTCGAGGCCGCCATGGGGGCCATCGAAGCCATGAGAAACAGCAGCAAGGATCCAGATGCTCCGTACTATCCCATGCCATCTCCACTTCATGGGCATAATGAAGTTGGTCCAAATGATTACCCAGGTATGAATATGATACGAAATTATTTGATATTTCACCAATATGTTTTGTTCCATATATGTGCTGCTGAATTCTGAATCACTTTTGATAGTTCTAATAATCCTCTTTTGCACCAGAAAACCCAGCAATCTGGAAGGAGTTCAACAGGAAAGAAGGTATGTGTAATTATAAAAGAAAATAAAGATAAAATTCATGGAAATTCGGTTTAAAAAATTCTTTACTTTCAATTTTAAGTTACACATTAGTCATCACGGATTCTGCACCTAGTTATTAACATGCATGCATGGTGGTACATGTATGATGCGATATATTGTAGGTCAGCTTGACTTGTTGCGAGTTGGCAAAAAGAATGACCGGATGGCGATATCCGATAGGGTGGATGGAGGAGCCAGTGGTAGCGGCCCCAGGAAGGGCTATCTTGTGATGAAAACGTACAAAAAGGCTCAAGAATATTATCGCGAACTACGGAACAAAGGCGCCATGGCTAGTGGTGCAGGTAGTATGATGAGTTTTCGATAATTTTTTCTCTTGTCTAAAATACAATAGAACATATAGAAAATAGTATGGTTGGCTACCGAGAGGAGTGAACCGCCTAGGCAGATAAGGGTCAGGGTTGTTAGCTGGCTTAACCAGCTGAGTGCACATAGGCCAACGATTGATCACCCTCAATTATTTCAAACAAAAACCACACGTTGAAAGAGTTTTTTTATTGATTGATGATCGTAGATCTTTGCGTATGTCGACACCACTTCCTACGCCTTGCTAGATATATAGTACCGTATTGTTGGCTTTTAGCTGTATTATTTTTTTTGTCGGTCACTCCTTGCATGTCGTGTGCATCCTTAGATGATGTTAGCTGGTAGGTTGGAAATAACATTTTGTAATGCTCACATAATTTTGTTTAATTTGTCAAATAATGCAACTGTATCTATTTTTTTCATTCAAAACTACAACTAACTAACATTTTATGAGGCTCACAATTAAACTTTTGCTTATTTTTTGAAATAATGCAAATGATTTGATTTTTTTTATCCAAAAATATAACTAACTAACAGTTTATAGTGCTCACACTATTCAATGTTTAGGTGTTAAAATTGAAGATGACAGTGAAACCGAGAGTGACAATGAAGATGAGAAGGCAAATGAGAAGGCTAAGGCTAAGGCCAAGGCTAGAGCTGTGTATCAACAAAATAAAGGTATCCAAGAAAATTATTGGTGATGCTAGCTGGCAAATGTCATGGTACCTTTTTATTTTTATTTTAAACATGTTTCTTGTGATTGCATTCCTATGGTCAATAATTGTGGCGGATGATCAATATCGGAACCATTTGAACCGTGATGGTTCCAATCTAATTCAGGTTCATTTTTTTTAATAAATGATTTAATAGTGCTTATATATTTTTGTTGTTATCCTTTAAACTTTGTGAACAGTCCTTAGATGTTTTGTCTATCCTTAGACATTAGCTAGTAGGTAGGAAGTAACATTTTGGAATGCTCACAATTTTTCAAATTTGAGAAATAATGCAACTGTATTTGATTTTTTTTTACCCAAAACTACATCTAACTAACATTTTGTACTGCTCGCAGTTAAAGTTTTGTTTAATTTTTGAAATATTGCAATTGTATTTGATTTTTTCATCCAAAACTACAGCTAACTAACATTGTTTAATGCTCACATTATTCAATGTTTAGGTGTTAAAACTGAAGATCAGAGTGAAACAGAAAGTGATAATGAAGATGAACAGGCAAAGGTTATGGCAAAAGCTAAGGCTAGAGTTATACCTCGACCAAACAAAGGTATCTAAGAAAATTATCGGTGATGCTAGCCGGAAAATGTTATGATATTCTTTTTTTTATATTAAACATGCCTCTTAGTTGCGACTGCAAATCTTTAGTACTTCAGTATTTTCATATGGTCAATAATTGTGCCCAATGATCGAAATCAGAACCATTTGAAATTGATGATGCCATGCTAATTCAGGTTCAAAACTTTTTTGACGAAATGATTTAGTCATGCTTAAATATTTTTGTTGTTATCCTTTTTAAACTTTGTGCACACTTCAAAACTCCATTAGTAGGTTATTTTGCCATGCATACATGGAAATGGTACTGAGTTGATCCGTTGTATTGCACACGGGAATTTATCCCATTTCTAGCATGAATGGAATTATTTGTTGTTAAACTACTGCATTCAGTTTAGGGCATTTTTAGTGTATGCACATTAATGATAAACTAAATGAAATTGCGGATCCTTGAACTCCAAGGGAGTTATCTAGGTTTGGAGACTCAATAATTTTGGGTTGTACCCACGAAGTTCTCTTGTGCGCTTGTTGTAGATTCAAACTAGGGATGGTTATATATTTGATGGAGGTGGTATCTACACCATTCTTTCCAGCCAACTCATGACTATAATTTGTTTTCCATTAACCCAGTTTGTCCGCGCACCTCACATACCCTCCCCCCCCCAATAGGTGTTCTTAGGACAATTATAATTTACTAAGTTGAATAAGGCTTCCATGTTCTAAAAATATATATCAGCCCCCTTGCAATCCCTGGCCTATCCAGCAGTATGGTTTGCAAGATCACGTTGGTGACAACACATGGTCGGGCACAACTTTCAGAAGACATGCCTATAGTTAAAAATATAGTGTTCACTTATAAGTGTCATTTTAGCATGGTGTTTTGTTATCCCCTCATATCTGGGCACGGATGAGGGAAGAAAATGCATTTCTAAATGTCAAGTATGTTGACTAGGTGCTTCGTCCACTATAGGGATGGCAAGGGCTAGGTCAAGCTTAGGCAGAGCAAGAGCATAGGTCCGACCCTAGACCTGGCCCGATACCGTCTTGCCTGAGCTATGCCTGATAGCCTCAGCGGGCATGAAAGACACGCCAATGCTGAGTGGGCACCTGAAACTCAATGAGTCACAATCGGGCATCTGCTCCTTCACCGCCACTAGGGTGGGGCTAGCATCCCCCATGGAGTAAGGAAACACAACACCACAACCAATGGTAAACAAGGACTGGAAATTTTCCCTCAATTAAACTATTCATTGTCACCCACGTGACCGGGCCAAGATGCCAAGTAGAAAATAGAGGTGTATTGCGATATGTGGGTTCTCATCTTTTGTCCATGCATCTAATTGCCACGGCACGATGCTGATCCGCGCCTACGTTGCCGTCTGCTGAGCTACTAGTGAGTTCTCATTAGGACATTGTCCTCCTAAGCCATGCCTCCACACCACACCTCCCCCCTTCTCCCGGCGTGCAGAGTTATTAAGTACGACACTTTTTTGGTATGTTCATTGCACATTACCGTATTCGATCCAATGTTGCATCCAGCAAACACACATGTACAACATTACACAGTTTCCATGGTAAATCGTATTTGCACGTAAAGAACCAGCAGTGAAGCTAGCTCCTGGGCTGGTCGGGCGACCACCGGCTCCATCGCCGACTTTTGCACTATTTTTCCATTAGAAACACATGTAAATATTTATCGATCAATAGGAAACACTCTTCATCACCTGAGCTTGATGACGTCATTGGCTCCTCCACTGCAAAGAACATACTTGGCTAGATGAAGATAAAAGCAAATAGCTGCACTCCAGAAAAACATATTTGATCCTTTCCTTTTGTACAAACAGAGGACTCAGGAACATATGGCAACTTGGTATATATAGCGGGTATGGTCGATGATGGAATCATCCTTTTTTTTAAGTCAAAGAAAGACTTTCCATTGTCAAATTGGAGACATCTAGCAATTCTACACTCCAAAAAGTCCAGAGGTTTCCCAAAGGACGGTAAGATGGGCCCTTCCTTCCCCGAGTGAACAACTCAAACTTCCCTCTCCCCTAAGTGATAGCAGTGCTAGTTTGATAACAGATCTTGTCTATTAGCCTGAGGAGGGAGTCTTATGAGTGAAGCATGAAACAATATGGTAAGGTTGAGTGGACCGACCGAGATCTAAAATACTATGGTTAGGAACAACTTGACTTATCTCAACAAGTGGTTTAATTAGCTCTTCTTTCACAAAACACAAATCCTTTTGGTATGAGGCTCTATGAGCTTATCATTTGTACTCTTATCCATCCATTTTAACTCCTTTTATCGACTGGAGAAGCATAGCTTCCTTACACGCGCATGACATAGGATACGTGAAAACAGATATTTGTACTAGCGATCAGCCGATCATCAGGAGAGGAACCTCTACATCCCACGTTTCTTCAAATGCATTCTACAGTATATTTAGGGAAACTATTGGTCATTGAGAGAGACCACATTTGTACCAATCAAATGCACTTGTGGTGCACTAACATTCCGTTTTGGTCTCGTACACTCCTTATGTTAAAATGTCACCTAGACCTCCTTTGGCCGCATCATTCCTCTCAACCAAAACTGTAAATCAAGCCCACTAACCCCCGTACCATATAAAAGCTATGATTTTAACCATGAAAAATTGATAGATCCAATAGCGTTGGAGGTAGTTTGATTTGATGGAGTGATGACTTATGCAGCAAGCATTGTCGACTAGGCGAATTGTGGACGCACCTACAGAGTAGGTGGCTGGGCGCTGACAGAGCAGATGCCCTATTGGCACTCATTGGGTTTCAGGTGCCCACTAAGCATGGGCGTGTGCACTGATTCATGCTCGCTGAGGCTATTAGGCATAGCTCGAGCAAGAAAGTATCAGGTTGTGTCTAGGGTCAGACTTGTGCTCTTGCTCTGCTTAAGCTTGACATGGGCTTTGCCATCCCTATAGTGGACGAAGCACCTAGTCATGAATCAAAAATGTAAACCAAAACTGTAAATCAAGCCCACTGACCCCCGAACCATGTAAAAGCTATGATTTTAACCATAAAAAATTGATAGATCCAATAGCGTTGGTGGTAGCTTGATTTGATGGAGTGCTGACTTATGCAGCAAGCATTGTCGACTAGGCGAATTGTGGACGCACCTACGGAGTAAGTGGGTGGGTGCTGACGTAGCAGATGCCCGATTGGCACTCATTGAGTTTCAGGTGCCCACTAAGCATGGGTGTGTGCACTGATTCCTGCCCGCTTAGGCTATCAGGCATAGCTCGGGCAAGACAGTATCGGGTCGTGTCTAGGGTCCGACTTGTGCTCTTGCTTTGCTTAAGTTTGATGCGGCCTTTGCCATCCCTCTAGTGGACAAAGCACCTAGTCAGCATACTTCTTGACATTAAGAAATGCATTTTATTCCCTCATCCGAGCCTAGATATGAGGGGATAATAAACCACCATCCTAAAATGACACTTAATTATAAGTGAACCCTATATATTTTAAACTATATGGCATATTTTTTGAAAGCTAGGCCCGACCGTGTGTTGTCACCAATGTGACCATGCAAACCACAGTGCTGGATAGGCCAAGGGCTGCAAGGGAGCTGATATATATTTTTAGAACATGAAAGCTTTATTGAACTCTGTAAATTACATCAAGGTGGTGCAATTGTCCTAAGAACACCTGTTGGGGGGGGGCGTATGTGTGGTGACGTGGACAAACTAGGTCAACGATAAGCAAATATTGGTCATGAGTTGGATAGAAAGAATTGCGTAGATACCACCTCCATCAAAGATATAACCATGCCTAGTTTGAACCTACAATAAGCACACATGGCAACTTCGTGGGTACAACCCGAAATTATCGAGTCTCCAAACCTAGATAACTCCCTTGGAGTTCAACGATCCGCAATTTCATTATGTCTATCATTAATATGCATACACTAAAAATGCCCTAAACTAAAAGCAGCAGTTTAACAACAAATAATTCCATTCCAACTGGAAATGGGATAAATTCCCGTGTGCAACACCACGGATCAACTTAGTACCATTTCCATGTATGCATAGCAAAATAACCTACTAATGGAGTTTTGAAGTGTGCTCAACGTTTTAAAAAGATAACGACAAAAATAATTAATCATTACTAAATCATTTCTTCAAAAAAATTTGAACCTGAATTAGCATGGCATCATCACTATTCAAATGGTTTCAATATTGATCATTGGCCACAATTATTGACCATAGGAAAATACTGAAGAACTATAGATTTGCAGTCGCAACTAAGAAACATGTTTAATATAAATAAATAAATAAAGAGTATCAAAACATTTGCCAGCTAGCATCACCAATAATTTGTTTAGATACCTATGTTTGGTCGAAGTATAACTATAGCCTTAGCCATAGCCATAGCCTTAGGCTTTTCATCATCATTGTCACTTTCAGTTTCACTGTCATCTTCAGTTTTGACACCTAAACATTGAATAGAATAGTGTGAGCATTACAAAATGTTAGTTAGCTGTAGTTTTGGAAGAAAAAAATCAAATACATTTGCAATATTTCAAAAATGAAACAGAACTTTAATTGTGAGCGTTACAAAATGTTAGTTCAATGTAGTTTTGCATGAAAAGAATCAAATACAGTTGCATTATTTCAGAAATTAAACAAAACTTTGTGAGCATTACAAAATGTTACTTACAATCTACTAGCTAAAGTCTAAGGATGCACACAGCATGAAAGGAGTGCGCATAAAGTTTAAAAAGGATAACAACAAAAATATTTAAGCTCGACTAAATCATTTCTTCGAAAAATTCTGAACTTGCATTAGCATGGCATCATCACTGTTCAAATGGTTCCGATATTGATAGTCGGCCACAATTATTGACCATAGGAAAATACTGAAGTGCTGAAGATTTGCAGTCACAACAAAAAACATGATTAAGATAAAAAATAAAGGTTACCATAAAATTTTCTAGCTAGCATCACCAACAATTTTCATAGATACCTTTGTTTGTTCGAAGCATAGCTCTAACCATAGCCTTAGCCTTTTCATCTTCATTATCACTTTCAGCTTCACTCTCACATTCAGTTTTAACACCTAAACATTGAATAGTGTGAGCATTTATTGGAAAATACGAGAAAAAAATTATCGGAAACTCATCATATTACCTGCA